AATAAGTGCATGTTGATTTTGATATTGGCTTTCCTGTGGCCGCTTTCCATCGACCCCATATTATCTCAGAAGAAGACGTCTGTGTAAATAACAGTCAAATTAAGAATAATTTAAATACGAAGGGGCAGGTGGGTGGGAGGTGTATGATAATATGAAGCGGCATGCAACATTGTGGTGGACAATGAAAATGAGCATGTTGAGTGTGTTCTTTTAAAGCCTCCCTATGCAATAGTTTATGCCTTGATTAAATACATTACTTAGGCCAGAAGCTTCGTAACATGGTATCATACATTTCAAGTACCAGCTATAAGATAACCTATAGTCGCAGGAATTACGACGAATTCAGCGCTTTAAACTGCTGTGAGGCTTCTATTATTCAAACTAGTACACAGCATTATGCCGTTCTATCAAATCAGCAAAACCGGTTAAATATTGTCTATATCATTATACAGGTTACAAGCTCACTTATGAGACTACATTTCTTCAATATGAATATATACCGTATACAATATAAACCAACCCGAATATCAGCCGAGGCACCAAATTTTACCACAAAAACTGCATAAAGTGTGTTGAAAAATTCGGCTTCTAGCTCAAAGGCAGTAGCTGTCTTACAAACGTTGGACTTGCATGCAACCCAGCATTTTAAGCCCATCCATGTAAACCCTCCTAAATGAAAATGATGGGGCAACATGGGCCTCTGAAGTTCATGGATCAATTGAAATAAAACACGAGAAATGTTCCCACAGAGTTCACGAAGACGCTGGTGCAAATGGTTGCTCTTTGTAAAGAAAAACATCACAATCACAGTATTGATAGGTAGTATGTATCAATGCATAAGCAGGGCAAAGAAAGGAAAAATATGGAATCACATCCCCCCAGCCCATATGCAGAACAATCATATTGATGTGCATGAGGGGGAGGGCGGAGGGGAGCCCCAAAGCCCATCTGTAGAAAATTGGACATCAACTTACAGAAGGGACACAAGAGATGAGCCAGTCAGGGTGCAGTATAGCACTGATGAAACACAACTTTCGTCTAGTTCATGCTCCCCAGCACCTGCACCCCCACCCACCATCATGACCCCAATTCTACCTCACAAATCTAGCTAGACCGGAATGTGTGACTGGAAGAATGTAGTTACCTTTGCAAGAATGGGGGGAAATGCATGTGAAAATAAAGACAAGGAAAGACAAGGATATTTAATGACGCAAAGCCACCATCAACCTGCTTCTCGTAGTTGCTGTGTCGGGTCTTGGCTTCCATATCGGGGTTTATCGTCTCTGAGGCTTTGTCACCGTTGGTGGTTTTCAACCCCGTGACGTGTTTTTCTGTGTCTTGGTCAGTGGACCCCAGCGAGGATGAGTCTAGAGACAGCCAATGGAGTAAGGGTCGGGGTCGGGGTGGGGGTGCAGCAGAGGGTCAGGTGGAAGTGACTAACACTGTTGGACAGGACTGGACCGAGGAACTGCGGAAAGGTAGGTCTGCATTAGGTCCTGATAAAATGGTTTCAAAGCAAAGAAAAATCCTTTTGCTGAAAAGCAGCCCTGAGGCACTGTGTTAAGTGACAAATTGGCTCACAAAACAAGGAATGAGTTCACGGTGCACCCTGTTCTTTTTATTTCCTATGAGGTCAACTGGCCATCCGCTCGTTGAAAGCAAAGGTGAGTATGTACGGGGGCAGGGAGACTAGACGCATGACAAGGAAGGAAACCATAGGCCCAGGCTGGGAAGACCATCACCACGGCCGGCCAACGGGACACTGCGGACCATTGCAGACCGGGAACCAAGCGAACGTTCACGGAGCAATGAAAAAGGTCTGAGTTTAAAAAACCCTTTAATTCGTGTCAATAAACGTTACATTCTTCTTTTCCAACCATTACGTTTTTAAATTAAAAACCCCCAAATGGAGCCAATATTTAAAAAAAAATAACGTCACTGTAAACATTTAAGAAACGCAGGCATTTGGCAGTCTATGTTGAGCACCCACATTTGGAATTGCCACAGGTCCAGAGAAAGGTAAAATCCATCTCGGAACGAGAAAGCAACAAACACCAAGGAATACAGCTCCTGACGGAAAATATAAATCTCTCTTCCCAAAGACCCACAGCCGCTGCAGCCACTCCTGCGAAAGAGCAGTCTTTCTTCGGCTCTGAATCTTCTTTACATGGATGGAGGAGTAACGGCAGAACCAATGAACAAAAAACACCCCTCTGGGCCCACAATGGCCTCCATGCCGCTAATTCAGAGATGTGCATCGGAACACAGTTCTGTAAGGCCATCCAGTCTTGGGGATGCTCACAAGACCTACACACTGTGGCTTCCCGGGTGTTTCGTGACAGATCAGCCTAGAGGAGGCCCCAATCTCTCCGTCATGATGCTTTGCCAGGTACGGTCAGCTGTAACAGATGGAGCCTTACAGGTTTCCCCACGGTGTTTACGTTCATACATCTTCCTTCCACCATGAATCCTCGTACGTGCAGTGAGTCATGAGGGATCCTTTGGACGCTTCCCCACGCCACTTACCTTCAAAGGGTTTACCTTCTCCTGTGG